TGATACCGTGAGGCACGCGTGGCTTCTCATTCCCAAACAGCCATTCGAGTCAGCAAAATATTCAGCGGCCGAATCCCAGTTTCCAAAGAAGAGAATAAATCCATCAAGGAAGGAAGGACAAAAAACATGAACCGTCAGCATCTTTCTAAACGAAACCAAATAGCATCCAGAGCTAAAATCTCAAATTCTGCTGAGGGTTTTGGGTTTTGGGTTTTTTTTGTTTTTTTTTTAAAGGAGCTTCTCTTCCCCCCACCCCAAAGCTAATGGACAGCTCCCTTCCTAAACAAGGGTATCCAGAGGGTGTCAATCACAGCTTTTTTTTCCATTCTCAGAGCCTTTTAAGATGAGGGTCACTTCAACCCCCAGAATCCCCCCTCCCCCACCAGCCACGCCCCCCCTCTTCTTCTACTGCCCTGCTGCCAACCCAGAGACAGTCCATTCATCCAAGGGCCACCTCCCTCCCATCTTTTGAATTTTTTTCCTTCTCCTCCTCCTAAGGAAGCCTTCTCCCAATAAAGGAGAAATATTTGTAGCTCAGGTTTGAAATGCTTGGGGTCCTTGGTACTCTCTCTGAAGCTGGTGGCTTCCTTGCAGATGTTTTATGACCCAGCTAGATAACCTCCTCATTTTAACAGATTGACAAGAGTTGGAAGGGACCTTGTAAAGGTCATCTAGTCACACCCCGACCCGCCTCCCGCCACCTCCAAGCAGGAAACCCTCTCTACACCATTTCTGACAGATGGCAGTCCAGTCTCCTCTTGAAAGCCTCCAGTGATGAAGCGCTAGAAGAGAGTGGGGGTTTGCTCTCGGGTTTGTACCCACTCCTCGCTAGCACGGATGGCGTTGCCTAGCTGGGTCATGAAACGTCTGGCTAGGAAACAGGCAGGCTCGGAGACCACCAAGGAACCCCCCCCCCCAAAAAAAAAAAACCCTTTTTCCCTCCCCAGGAGGAAAGGGAGAATGAAAGCCCCCAGCCCCATTACTCCCCCTCCTGCTGCAGACCCCCCCTCCCTTCAGAAGCCGACTTCCCGACACACTGCCCAGCCAAACCTCCCTGCAAGGGGAGCACAGCCCCCTCGCCACTAAGTTGCTGTTGCTCCCCTGTTCCCCCCTCCCTCCGCGCCCCGATCACCTTATGAGGATCCCCCTGCCCGCCCCTTTCAAACCCACCGTGGAGGACAGGGGCGCCTCCCCCTCCGCCAAACCAGGGGGGAAGCCTCAGCCCGGCCCCACGCCTCCTTCGAGGGGGAAGGGCCCAATGCCGAAGAAAGGGGCGCTTCTCCCCGCCCTCGGCCCAGAAAAGCCCGCGCCGTCCGGGGCTTGGCCACGCCTCCCCGGGCCGCCGTGAGGAAGCGGCCCCTCGCGCGCGCCACGACCACCCCTCTTTCCAGGAATGGAACGGTCCACCTTTCCCTCTCCACACTGGCCGGATCCAAAGCATATGGGGGGAGTCTGTTGGAGGGAAACGGCTCCTCGGGGGCTTCCTCAGCCCCTCCCCCCGCCCCGTCGTCTCACCTCGCGCGCCTCGGCCTTCAGCTCCTTCCCGCGCCTCCGTCCGTCTCCACCGCCGCCCCGCGGTGGTGCTTTTCCCAGCTGAGCGGCCGGGACCTTGGCCTCCAACCAGGAAGTGGCCCGGTGTGACACCTACTCCTCGCTGCCATGACAACGCTCCCCCGCCCGCCGGGCTCGGGCCAGGGAAAGCCTCGGCTCTTGGCCGCACGCCGCCGCCTGGCAGCGTCGAGGGCGTTCCCAAGCAGGGCGCCATTTTGCATTCCAAGGAGGCTACGGCGGCCGGCAGGGGCAAACCGGTTCCCGCTTTCTCTCAGCCTCTCTACCATCTTCAGTCAAAAGCGAAGCGGAGGTTCCGCCTCTTGCGGAAAAAGAGCTGCAGGATGTTGCTCGGTATGGACTCCAATTCCCAGAACTCCTTAGCCTGCCCTGTTGGGTAAGGAAATCTGGGAGTTGAAGTCCACCCGTTTTAAAGTTACCTTGTTTGAAAAATACTGCTCTAAATAAATGCCTCACTTTAAGGATCAGTCCTGTCATTGCACTTAAAGCGTAAAGAATCTAAAATAAAGTTCAATAATTCGTTATCGGAAAAGCAAACAGAAAGATTAATGATTCCATCTAGCTGATTTCTTTAAAAGGCCGGTGTTTCCTTGTGTTTTGAAATCTTGTCTGAAAGTTCATTTTGGGAAAGCTAGAGGTTGTGAAAGATGAATATAACCCACTGTACCTGAATGTTGTATGATACACTCAGCCACCAATGGGAACCAAAGTAAAACACAACTTTGGATATGGACAAAGGCTTAAGATAAATTGTTTATTTATTTATTTATTATTTATTTGATTTGTCAATTGCTTACAAGATAATAGGTATAAGTAAAAACATAGTTATGAATACATGGATAAATATAAGAAAAAGAAAAAAAAGAAACAGTATGAACCCAGTCAATTCTTCACACTCTGGTCTTACAACAATCCAGGGCAGAGGTGGCATTCAGCAGGTTCTGACCAGTTCTGGAGAATGGGTAGCGGAAGTTTTGAGTAGTTCAGAGAACCAGCAAATACCACTCCTGACGGGAGATTTTACAGTATCCTTCCCCTACCACGTCCACCAAGGCACACCCACAGAAGTGGTAGTAAAAAAAAATTGAATCCCACCCATCCAAGGCAATCAGTTATACTAATTTTTGCAACAACAAAAAAAAAGTGGGAAATATTGAAGAAATGGGAAAATTAGATTTAAGTACTATTCTCAGAAATACACACTATCTTGTTGGCCCTATCACCAAGAAGCATCAAGCCGATAAGCATCAAGCAACCTTATGACTATTATTAAGTGTTGTACCTTATGATTCCTGACTCTTGATGAATGTATCTTTTCTTTTATGTACACTGAGAGCATTTGCTCCAAGACAAATTCCTTGTGTGTCCAATCACACTTGGTCAATAAAGAATTCTATTCTATTCCATTCCATTCCATTAACTGATATTCTTTTAGATTTTCTTGCAGCTTTAAAAAGGAACAGTAACACCAGCTCACCAGAGAACGTTTGTACAATGAGTGCGACTATAAGGGAAGCCCTAGAGGGGGTCCATGACAATTTGCCATGATCAAGTCGCCACAGCCAACTTGCCACCGTCAACTCAATGAGGGGCAATTCACTACAGCCAACCCACCATGGGACAAGAGGTACACTAATATCGACGAAATGGTGGAATGGAATCATGAAAGAAAGGATGCAAAAGGACGACAAAATGAAATGTCAATGGCAAAAATTAAACTATTTTTTATTTATTTTAAATAATTAAATAGAGTTGTTAAATTGTCCCACAGAGAGTTGTCTCATGGCGAGTTGGCCATGGTGACTTTGCTGTGGCAAGTTAGCCGTGGCGAGTTGGCCGTGGTGAGTTTGCCGCAGCCAGTGGGAAAAGAGAGTGCACTTCGGGGAGCCAGCCACAGTGGTTGGGTGACACGTGTGAATGCAAACCAAATTTCTGGTAGGGCTACAGATTTCAAAGCAGCTGGAATTTGGAGTGACTGACAATGAACAGCTCCCAGATTCAATAAGGGGACCTCAGAGTGGGGGAAGCATTTTCAAGAGAAAAAATGGGGTTTCCACTGAATAAAGCCTTATTTCTTTGCCATTGCTATGAAATGGCTGGGGTCACTTGCATTAGAACATAGCAGGGCACGAAAAGAGGAGGGAAACAGAAACTCCACTGACCTCTATGGATCGGTGAGTCAGTGGCAGCTAAACCAGTATAACCGAAAGAAAACAATACACCTCTGGCCAAAACTGTTGGCACCCTCTCTTGGGAAGCTAAGAACACATTCCAGAAGAAGGCGATGGCAAACCATGATTGACATAGTGTTTATTTATTTATTACATTCATATGCTGTCCATCTCCCTATCCAAAGCGACTTTGGGAGGATGAGAAAATAATATTTATTTATTAAAATGATAAATAATTAAAATAAATTTCATTTATATTTATATATCAAATCTGGACACCACCCATCGCATTCACAGAGCAACTATGAGTTTGGTCTGTTGGTAGAAATACTGGGGTGAGATTCTTATAGTGAATACAAAAGAAAATACAGGTTGTTCTCAGCTTATGAGCATAACTGAGCCCAGAATTTATGTTGCTAAGTGACACATTTATTAAGCGAGTTTTGTTCCATTTAACAACCTTTCTTGGCACAGTTGTTAGGTGAATCATTGCAGTTGTTAAGTTAGTAACACAATTGTTAAGTGAATCTGGCATCCCCATTGACTTTGCTTGTCAGAAGGTCGCAAAAGGGGATCATGTAACCCCAGGACACTGAAACAGTCATAAATACAAGTCAGTTGCCAAACAGCTGATTTTTGATCATGTGACCATGGGGATGCAACAGTCATAAGTGTGAAAAATGGTCATAAGTCACTTTTTTCAATGCCATTGTAACTTTGTACAGTCACCAAATGAACTGTGGACTACCTGTAAAGAGACTCTTCTTTTATGCGTAGTGGAGAAAGAACTTGGGAAAAAATGGGATTTTGCTGTTTATATGTGTGTTGACAGTAGCAAGAATGCTTTATGTACAAAAATGTACATTTAATCCCCACAACGGATAATGGGCTGGAAAAACTGATGGCACTAGCAGAGATGACTAAATTCATATCCAGCTTTGTTTCTGCTTGGAAACCGCTTCTGACTTTTGTGCCTGAGATGTGGGGGAAAAGAAACGTTGACTTTGCTTGTTTTTGGGGGGTGGGATTGGATAAGTTTGTTGTTCTAGAAATCGCTAGCACATTTTAATATGTAAAATTAAAACGCTGAGGCTATCTTAGGGGGGTGGATTAGAAGACCTCCAAAGTCCCTTCCAGCTCTGTTCCGATTGATTGAAATGGTCTAGGGTCTCCTGATTTAGCAGGGGGTTGGACTAGGAGACCTCAAGGCCCCTTCTTCCAGCTCTATTCTGATTGCTTGTAGATTGCTTGATTGCTTATTATTCTATTGCGATAAAAAGAGTTGGACGTCCATATTTTTCTTTTTACCGTACCCTTTTTTCCTTTCCGCCTCTGGCCGGCAGGGGTCCCCCTTGAGCCGCTCCCGCTCTGCGCCGCTGTAACGAGGCCATGGCTGCCGCCACCGCCGCTGCTGCTGCCCGTGGAGGGCTTTGCGGGGCGAAGTTGGCGCGGCTCGTCCTGGGCAGCCGGACTGTTTCGACCGGCAGCTCCGCAGCCCCAACTCCCGATGGGGAGCGCCAGCAGGAGCAGCAAGGGAAGCTCACCCGCGTGTGGCAGAGCGAAGGCATCAGGTTGGGCAGAGAATGCAAAGCCCGGGAGGTTCCGGGTTAGAATAGAATAATAGAATGGTTAGGATAGCATAGCACAGGATAATAGGATAGGATAACAGGATAGCATAGGATAGGATAATAAAATAGGATAGGATAATAGGATAGGAATAGGATAGAGTAATAGGATAGGGCAAGGGTCTTCAAACTTGGCAAGTTTAAGACTTGTGGACTTCAACTCCCAGAATTCCTGAGATAACATGACTGGAGGAGGAATTATGGGAGTTGAAGTCCACAAGTCTTAAAGTTACCCCTGAATAGGGTAATAGGATAAGATAATAGGATGAGATAGGATAGGATAATAGGATAGCATAGCATAGGATAGCATAGGATAATAAATAGGATAGGATAATAGGATATGATAGGTCCTATTCTGTTTTCCTATCCTATCCTATTACCCTATTACCCTATCATAAGATAATAGGATTGGGTAACAGGATAGGATGATGGGATAGGATAGGATAATAGGATGAGATAGGGTAGGATAATAGGATAGTATAGGTTAGGATACTAAGATAGGATAGGATAATAGGATAGCATAGAATTCAGAATAGAATTGGTGGGGCAGAACTGCCCCTTCTCCCTGCAGCCCTCCTTGGCTTGGGGGGTACCCCTCCTTTGGCAAAACCGAGCATTGGGTTTTGCAACTACAAGTTGCAAGCCTGCAAGATCACCAGCACCAACAAGTGTCTGGGAATGGGGTGAAGTGGGAGGAGGAGGATCCGCTGAGCACCTGTTCGGATATAGAAGCGATCGGGGCTTTTTCTCGGCTTGCTTCCCTGAGAAAATGTTTTAAAGCGGCGTTTTTCAAAGTAGGCCGCTTTAGAAGGCATGGACTACAAATCCCCAGAATTCCTCAGTCAGCTTTAAAGCCAGGCTGGTTTAAAAAGAGGAAACCGCTTGCAATGCCTTTTTTGGGGAGGGGGCCCTGATGGTAGGTAACCTTGCCTTACTCACTGGGTCCAGGGTCCTGCAAGTGGACGCAATCTGGAATCTGGACAGGGCTTGGCCATCACTTGAGACTTTCAAGAAGAGATTGGACTCCCATCTGTCAGAAATGGTGTAGGGTCTCCTGCTTGGGCAGGGGGTTGGACTAGATGAGCTACAAGGTCCCTTCCAACTCTGATTGTCTGTTATCTGTTATGCCATTTGCAAATGAAACAGATTTTGTCTTTGCATAATTCTTGAACGTTGCTGTAATTGACTGACCGTAGCTTGTCTAGATCTGAAAGAGGAATTATAATAAGATCATCTGGGTTTTTATTTTATTTTTTGGTACAATTCAAGATGTGTACATATGTTTTCCCCACAACAACAACCCTGTGAGGTGGGTTGGGCTGAGATAAGGACTGACCCAAAATCATCCAGCAGGCTTTCATACCCAAGGGAGGGCCAGAAGCATTCTGACATACACACACACACACAATCTGATATCACCTTTTAAACCAGGAGTGGGCAACTAATGACAATTTTATGACTTGTGGACTTCAGTTCCCAGAATTCCAGAGCCAGCAAGAAATTTGGGGAGTTGAAGTTCATTGCTGGTAAAGTTCTCTCAGTTGCCTATACCTGCTTTAAACCAATGCATCTTTTTACATGGGTTTACACAGTGTGTAAATTCACCCCGGCCGATCCAAGTAGAATTCAGGTGGCAGGCAACAAAATCCACACCAATAAAATGCATTTTGTGCAGCCTCCATAATCCAGGTATGGTTAGTCCTTGACAGATGACTTGGGACTGTAATTTCTGTTGTTAAGCAAGGCAGTTGTGATTTGCACCCAAATTTACAACACTTTATGCCATGTTCTTTAAGCAAATCATTGTGGTCATTAAGTAAATTGCACAGCTGTTATGTGAATCCCCTGTTATAATTTGGCTTGGCAGCAGCTGGCTGTCACAATTGAAGGGCCCAGGACGCTGCAACCATCATAAATATATGCCAATTGTCAAATGCCCAAATTTTGATCATTAGGCATCATAAATGCGAGGACTGGTCGTACATCATTTTTTTTCAGCATTTGTAACTTTGACTAGTCATAAAGTCTGTTTGTAAATGAATGGGTCATAAGTCAAGGACTACCTGTACTGAATTTTACTTTTACAGTATCTTGAGTCAATACAAACCATCAAACCATTAACTAAGTATTTGGAATGCAATCACATAACGTCCTAAAACGGCCCCTGTTTTTCCCATAAGGTCAAGTTTACCAACTGCAAATTTAGCAAGCAGCTTTTTTCAAAAACATCCTCTCCCGCCCCAGCACAATTAATTAATAACTAATAGTGCATCAACAAGAAATTCCTTTTTGGAAATGCTAAGATAATGATCAGTTTCTAAATAAGTGAGTGAACTGAACTGGGCAAGGGAAGGAAAAGAAAAGGGGATGAATTAATAGTGGATTAAATTTAGAGTGGAGGAAATTGTTGAAAAAGTGATTTCAGAAGGAAGCCCCATTTCTGCCTGAGTTTATTACCTGGGAAGCAATCTTTTGAGATGACCTCAAAATCAGAAAACCCACCTTGCAAAATCCATTTGCAAACCATGCTTTGATAGGTTTGGGGACAAATCACTTCCTAGGCCTCTCATTCAGGGGGGAAAAAAACATCCTCAGCTTGCAAATATATTTGATCCCAATCAGGGAACTGCAAATATAAGAGCAAATTGCCAATTATTCAGTCAAAGAACCAGATTGTTTTCCTTTAAAGTGCTTTGTTGCTTCATGCAAGCCATCTACAATTTTAATTATGCATTCTTTCTGACCCAAAAGCACATTTCAAATACTGAATAGTATTGTGGATAAGCCCATTCACAGAGAAGCTGTCTTTTGAAATTTTTTGTAGATTTTTTTTTAAAAATCATGACTTTGACTATGTGATGACCCAGGGTGGGATACAAAATAAGCAAAGTCACAAAAACAGGAATAAAACCCATTTATTCCTTCAACTTCACTTCAAAGCTCCAAATATCCTTGATTGGAGACAAAAAAAACTCCCCCTCAAACAGTTATGGCAAGGAGGAAATGCCGCTTAAACTGAAAATGCCTATAAATTATAAAGAGTAAAAACAACACAAACCACACTGAAGCAATTAAGGGAACCAGGCCAGATAAGGGCTTGAAGACACCCACAGAGATAGGAACACACACTGGGAAGGACGCCAAACTCAGATAGGAATGACAGAGTAGATATATTTTTCCATGCTTTGTTTCCAGCACTGGCCCATATGCATGTCCGTCCTTTTAAACTACTCACAGCTACAGCCCATGAAGAGGATCAAGGCCCTTTCCTCCCCCACAGACCACGTCATTCACGTCTTTCCCTTATCCTCTCCTCCCTGCGTGCCCTAGGATGGAGAAGGGATGGTCCTGGGTCTTCCTCTGAATGCCCAGCCGGCCTCTGCCCTTCCCCAGCCTCCTCCACAACCTCCAGAGCCACACTTCCACTCCCTGTTGGCTCTTCCTCCTCTCCCTTGGAGTCATTCTCTAACTGGGGCATGACAGACTAGCTTTTTTTGATTTCAACCAAATTAGCATGAAAAATGTGTTACCTCCAGATATGCCGAACTTCTGCAGCAACAGGTGAGAAGTTGCAAACGGCTACATCATCACTCATAAAACGTACAACCATTGCAGCCATTCTCTTCCCCCTGTGGTAGGGCTTCTCTCCTTCCTACTTAGCTGCTTTCCAGGACATCTTATAAACGTTCATTTTTCTTTACAGGAACATTGTCCTCAACAACCCTGGGAAAAGAAATGCACTCTCCCTCTCCATGCTGAGGTCCCTCCGTCAGGATATTTTGCACAATATTGACAGCACGGATTTGCGCGTCATTATCATTTCAGGTAGGTTGTACATTCACAATCCAAAAATGAATGAAGACGGAATTTGGCAGAGGATTTCTTCTCAATCACCTGCATCTAACTACCCTGTTTCCCTGAAACTATGACCTACCCTGAAAGTAAGTCCTAGCTTGATTTTTACACGTGAGCCCAATATAAGCCCTACCCCCAAAACAAGCCCTAATTAAGATCCCACCCACGGGTAAAAATTAAGCTAGGGTGGGGATGAGGGGTGGAGCTGCCCTACGACTTACTTTTGGACAGTTGTAGCCAGGCCTCGCCCACCCCGATACCTTCCTTGCCGGCCCATTTCTTCTGCAGCTGGCAAGGCTGGCAAGGCTTTCCTGAAGGCCTCTGTAGCTGACAAGAAAGCTCTGGATCGATCCAGAGCTCTGTTATCACCTGCAGGGGCCTTCAGGAAAGCTTTGCTGGCCACAGAAGAAGCTCCTGAAGGCCTCTGACAGCGAAAAGGAGGCTGGGGGGCGACATGCACAAGTTAGGTTAGTCCATGGATGACATCCCCCGAAAATAAGACCTGGTGCCTTTTTTGATGGCAAAAAAAAAATATAAAGCAGGGTCTTATTTTGGGGGAAACACGGTATTATTAGTCTAAAGTGGAGACTCAGTATCTACAATCTCCCTTTTTAAATCCATGAGGTTTTTAAGTTATACAGGTCATCCTCAACTTACAACTGTTCATCTAGTGCAGGGGTCGCCGACCTTTTGGACCTCAGGGACCACCAAACTCATAATTTTAAATCCCGCGGACCACTAATATGAATTTTGACTGATGGTGGCTCACAGACATTGATGGGAAAGTCGGTCCCATTTTCCAGAACTGCAGGAGTCACAGGACTGGCCCTTTGGTCATCCCGGAGCAGCTGCTCCTCCACCTTGGAGCACCGGCCTGCCATGGACTGGAGGAGCTGCTCCGGGATGACCAAAGGGCCAGTCCTGTGACTACTGCAGCTCTGGAATATGGGACCGACTTTCCCACCAACATCAGCAAGCCACCCTGGGGCGGACTTCCCTCCCCTGCCGTTGGTCTTACCTTCCAGTTCCAGGTCGCGTGGCTCTACTCAAGGTAAGGTTTGCGCTCGGCCGAAGGGTGGGGGCCAGCGGTAAGAGGGCCATGAGGGCAGCGCAGCCTTGTGTTCCCGCGCAGTCTGGATTAATTGCTTTAGGGGAGTGCTTGGGAGGGGGGACATTTCTCTGCGGACCACCAAAATTTTCTTGCGGACCACCAGTGGTTGCCCACCAGTTGGCAACCACTGCTCTAATCAACAGACCATCAAAAAGACTCCCACCAACACTAGCAAGGCAAGCCACTATTATATAAAAATAAAATGTAACCCCACTCCCTTGTAGTACTGATGATGTTACCTAGTTTGGTAAAGAAACGTCTGCGAGAAAACCACCAAGTTCAAAGAGCACCAAGGCCCGTGCAATCCAACCATGATGGCTTGTGAATCATGTTTCAGCCCTTCATGCGAACACAGTACGGGTGTATTTTTCTACAGAACATGTTTAAGCATGTTCTAGTTCAGTGTGTTGTGTGAACTAGGTCATTGTGGTATCCTGCACAAACATCTCCTTATTTTTCCAAACTTCTCTGAAGCTGAAGGCCCTGTGTTCTCCTCTGGACATGACTTGAAGGAATTGACTCCGAAGGAAGACACAAAACAGCACATGGACATCTTCAAAACCTGTTCAGAGGTCAGTTTCCACATTGACTTGGTCAACCCTGTGAAAAATTTCTCTCTCTTTACAATTGTCTGACTTCTCTCTCTCTCTCTCTCTCTCTCTCTCTCTCTCTCTCTCTCTCTCTCTCTCTCTCTCTCTCTCTCTCCCCTTCTCCCTCTCCCTCCTTCTCCCTCTCTCTCTCCTTCTCCCTCTCCCTCCCCCTCTCTCTCATTGTGTGCCAAAATGTTAACTTTAAATCAGGGGTCTCCAACCTTGATAACTTTGAGACTTGTGGACTTCAACTCCCAGAATTCTTCAGCCTGTTCTGGGAGTTGAAGTCCACAAGTCTTAAAGTTGCCAAGGTTGGAGACCCCTAATCCAAATACTGACTGCATTAATGACTAATTAGCCAAATCTGTCCATTTTCCCCATTGTTGAATGACTAAAACCTCCAACGTCAGAGGCCCAAAGTTAAATTCCATCCTGGAATAAGGAGAAACGTAAATAGACCCAATGAAACATTTTGCTTCAAGCAGTAATATGGAATGTACAGTGGCTCAGAATTGAAAGGGAAAAAAGAGAGGGGGTTTATTCCCCTATGGGAATTCGCAACAAAAATTCAGAAAGTCACTGCGGTGCCCCAGAAAAAAAAATACAGTTGTTATATATAACTCCCAACAGGTGCTTGTAGGATCTGAGCATCTTTTTCTTCTCAAATCTCCTGAGCATTTGGGTGATTTCTTGTATCTTATGAAGCGGTGTAAGATGTAGGGATATCTGGAAATTGGAAATAAGTCATAAGACTCTTTGGACTTTACATTCAAGCACTTCTAAGGAGGGAAGGGACCTTGGAGGTCCTCTTGTCTGACCCTGGAATCTTGATACCAGCCCACACAAAAGAGCTGTCCCACCTTGGCTTGAAGATGTCCAGCGATGGACCTCCCGAAGGCTGCTCCATGGTTTGATAGCTCTCATGTTTACAGATTATCAGAGTTAGAAGGGACCTTGTAGGTCATCTAGTCCAACCGCCCTCCCAAGCAGGAGACCCTACACCATTCCTGACAAATGGCAGTCCATTCTCTTCTTGAAAGCCTCCAGTGATGAAGCTCCCACAACTTCCGAAGGCAACTTCTGTTCCATTGGTTGATTGTTCTCACTGTCACAAATTTCTCCTTATTTCCAGGTTGAATCTCTCCTTGTTCAGTTTCCATCCATTATTCCTTGTCTGGCCTTCAAGTGTTTTGGAAAATAACTTGACCCTTTCCTCTTGGTGGCAGCCCCTTAAATATTGGAAGGCTGCTATCCTGTCTCCCCTGGTCCTTCTCTTCACTAGATAATGTTCTGGAAGTTCCTTCTGGTTCCGAGTTTGCATCTCCACCAAGTGTTTGTTGTCCTACCATTAGGACAAGATGGAGAATAAAGCCAAACTCTCTTCCTTGTGATATATCGCCTTTTCAAACAGTAGAAGATCGCTATCCTATCTTTCGTTTAGTCTTCTCAATTCTTTTCATCCTTTTTTTCCCCCCATAGGATTTAGTGCCTAAGCTAGTGTTTCTCAATTTTGGCCACTTAAATATGTGTGGACTTCAACTCCCAGAATTCCCCAGCCAGCCACAAGGGACCATGGCCTGTTGTGGCCCACTCGGACAGTGAGGAGGTTGGGGAGGAACATGGGCCAGTCCTGGAGTCTGGGGAAGGTTCTGATGAGATGAAAAGAATGGAGAAGACTACACGAAGAAAGAGTAGCAATTTTCTGATGTTTGAAAGGAAGGAAGAGAGTTTGGTTTTATTCTCCATCTTGTCCTAATGGTAGGATAACAAACACTTGGTGGAGATCCAAACTCAGAATCAGAAGGAACTTCCAGAACATAATCTAGTGAAGAGAAGGACCAGCGGAGACAGGATAGCAGTCTTCCAATATTTGAAGGGCTACCACAGAGAGGAGGGGGTCAAATTATTTTCCAAGGCACCTGAAGGCCAAACATGGCTGGCTGGGGAATTCTGGGAAATGGAGTCCACACATCTTCAAGTGGCCACAGTTGAGAAACAGTGGTGTGAGGCCTTTACCCTCTTCTGGAGTCTTCTCCACAACCCAGTTCTTCAGGGTCCTTGACTTGGGTTGACCGGAGCTGGATCACTGTATTCCAGATGTGACCCAACAAAAAGGGGTAAAGTGGAATTATCACTTCTTCTGATCTCCATGCATTAAGATGGACGCCTCTTGTTTCCTTTCTTTTTAAAACACTTCCTAACAGGTCATGACCTTGCTCCCAAAGCTACCCGTGCCCGTGATTGCCAAAGTGAACGGCCTTGCCACGGCCGCGGGTTGCCAGCTGGTGGCCAGCTGTGACATTGCCGTGGCCAGCGAGAAGTCCAAGTTCGCCACCCCTGGAGTGAACGTAGGTCTCTTCTGTTCAACACCCGCGGTGGCCATTGGAAGATCCTTGCCTAAAAAGGTAGGCCTTACCAACCAGTGGGCCGTTGTTCTGGCCTAGGCTTCCCAAGATCACGGAGCCGACTCCTTGTCCCAATAAAACCCCGTTTATTTAGGTTAAAGGGAATTCCTCTCCAGCAAAGGCTTTCATGAGATTTCACAACTACGGACCTTTCTCGGAGAGTTGCCAGGCCGATATCTTCCAAACGCCACGCTGTAGCACCAATTACTTGGGCAAGAAATCAGGAACAGATCTTCACCCTAACGAATTGAACTAATTGTCTCCTGCCAACACCACTCCCCTTTTGCTCCTCTTTATTCCCTATGGGAGGGGCCATTCACCACCCACCTGGCAGGGGAAGGTTACTGCAAAATCCCCATTCCCTCTCCACCCCGCTAACCTGCTTTCCAGCTCTGTTCTCCTGTGCAGGGCAGCAAAAGAAGACCCAGCTGATCAGCTGGGACTCAATGGGAGGCAGAGAAGAGATGGGGGTGGGGCCAGTCAGAGGTGGTATTTGCCGGTTTTCCGAACGACTCAAAATTTCCGCTACCGGTTCTCCAGAACTGGTCAGGACCTGCTGAATACCACCTCTGACGGTGGCGCAGTGGTTAGAGTGCAGTACTGCAGGCTACTTCTGCTGACTGCTGTGTGCCTGCAATTTGGCAGTCCGAATCTCACCAGGCTCAAGGTTGACTCAGTCTTCCATCCTTCTGGAATGGGTAAAATGAGGACCCAGATTATTGGGGACAATATGCTGATTCTGTAAACCGCTTAGAGAGGGCTGTAAAGCACTGTGAAGTCTAAATGCTATTGCTATTAGCTATGAGTTGCTACCTCATTCGAAAATCAAAGGAAAAGCCCTACCTATATCTCTTTAAGCCAGCTCACTTCTTCAGAAACAGAGGTAGCTGGAGAAGATGCTCCCACTGGTAATTTTAATGCATGCTCAAATTCGTGCAAAATATTCGTCTGGGGATGCTTCCTAGCTCAAACCTGCCCATCAGATGGGTATCAGAATCTTGAAATGAGCCAGGTGATGAACATCAAATTTTCTAGCTCAGGTTTACAGATTAACAGAGTTGGAAGGGACCTTGTAGGTCATCTAGTCCAACCCCCCAACCAAGCAGGAGACCCTACACCATTTCTGACAGATGGCAGTCCAGTCTCTTCTTGAAAGTCTCAAGTGATGGTGCTTCCACAACTTCCAAGGGCAACTTCTGTTCCATGGGTTGATTGTTCTCGCTGTCAGAAAATTTCTCCTTATTCCCAGATTGAATCTCAATCGGTTTCCATCCATTGTTCCTTATCTGGCCTTCCGGTGCTTTGGAAAATAGCTTGGCCCCTTCCTCCTCTCTGTGGAAGCCCCTCAAATATTGGAAGACTGCTATCCTGTCTCCCCTGGTCCTTCTCTTCACTAGTCTAGCCAGGCCCAGTTCCTGTCAGGTATTTTCTTCCAGGTGGCGCTGGAGATCCTCTTCACCGGCGTGCCCATGGCAGCTCAGGATGCCCTTCTCCACGGACTCATCAGCCGAGTTGTACCGGAGGACCAGCTGGAAAGCGAGACCCTAAAAATTGCCCAAAAGATTTGCCAAAGTAGCCGGGCCGTGTTAGCTCTGGGGAAGGCCACTTTTTACAAGCAGATGGAACGTGACATTAGCACGGCCTACCAGATAGCTTCACAGGTCATGGTGGAGAACCTGTCTATGAAGGATGGGAAGGAAGGAATTGAGGCCTTCATTTCTAAACGCAAACCCAACTGGTTCCATTCTTGAAAGAAACATTTCCAAGGAACATTCTAGGCCAGTGTTTCTCAACCGTGCCAACTTGAAGTTGCGTGGACTTCAACTCCTAGAATTTCCCCCAGCCAGCCAGTTTTGGGGTTTCCCAAACCTGCTTTGGAAAATTCTAGGACTTTCAGTTTGTTTTTTACAGGATCCCTTATCGGCCTACGATTATTGGTTTGCAAAGGGTCTTGCACTCGTGTCTGTCCTAATCGGTTACTTCAGGCACTCTGATCTGTGGGGGAAAAAATGGCCTGTGTATTTGCACAACACTCTTAACTAGCTGCCTTGAAGGTGCTGTATTCGTACAATAGGCTTAGCACAATTTGGTTATTTTCTTCTCATTGGGTGGACTGTGTGAATCCAGACCATTGGATTAATATATGATTTAAGGCAGTGGGTTTTCCCCCCAAAAAAAACTTGACAACTTGGTGTAGACTTCCCGTTGTGTAGAATTGGCAAAATGTGTGGAATATCCCAGAATATCCCAACTAGCACGCTAGGAATTGAAATCCTCACATTTTAAAGTTGGCAAGTTTGAAAAACACTGCTTTAAGCTATCATGTGAATCCTGAAAATGTATTAATACAGTTAAGTAGATTAGGTACATTGTACAAATTCACACACTATATTGTATGGTGTTAAAAAAAAGCAGAGTTTCATAGATGCCGAAATTACAAAGTCTACGTGTATATTACATCGTTATTAATTTAATGGTTACATGTTACTTCAATTATAACAGACTGTGACTGATGGTGCTAAACCATTGTTTGCCTAATCACAATTTACTAAATAAACCGCCATATCTGAATGTAACTAGTATAATAAACCAAAAACTGGCCAAACATATAGTGGCTTAATTGAATTCCTGCAGTACCTAGACTTATAAGTTGTGACTTCCTTGGTTTGTGACTTCAGATGTCAAGCGCAAAGAATCAGGATCTTTCTTGTGAGTCGTGCCAAGCGCCTGGGAAATCAGGAGATTCAGGCAGTTCAAATACATATAAAGATTTATTATAAGCTTAAGCTCTCTGCCAGAATTTGAACTACTAACATTCAAAGCAATTTGGCGGTAGATAAAGAATTCACGGTGGGCTGGACTTAGATCTCTTGTGGGTGCGCATGTACCCTGTTTCCCCGAAAATATGACCTACCCCGAAAGTAAGTCCTAGTGTGTGCCTCCTGCACCCTATTTTCGCTGGTAGAGGGCTGCAGGAGGCCGTCATGACCATAAACAGGGCATGGGTTGGGGATCATGCGAAGAATGATGACACATTTAACCAGAGCTGGCTGGGTGAGATTGGGGCAGTCACCAGGAGACAATGGTATCTAGAAACACTACACTATCAAGCAAATTAGTTTAGTTTAGTTTAGTTCATTGTCATTGCACATCGTACAACAAAATTAAATACTTCAGTGTACCATATAGTAGAATTCAATAGAGTTACTGCCCTGGGATAGAAGCTTTTTTTCAGCCTATTTGTTCTTCCTTTTATTATCCTGTACCATCTGCCAGGTGGTAATAGTTCAAATAAAAAGGGTGCCCAGGATGAGATGGATCTTTGAGAATGTTTTGAACTTTCTTAATGCAGCGGGAGCTATAAAGCTCTTCTGAAGAGGGGAGAGGGCAACCAATGATCAAAATTCAGCTGGAATTTATCCTTTGCATTGATGACTCCTGAATTATGTCTCCCAAGCTAGAAGCATCTGGTGTAGAAAACATTTCTATATATATATGGAGAAACGCTGGCCCTTCAGATGTTCCTGAATGACAATTCCCCTACTTCTTTAGTAACCCTTCCCGCTGGATGGATTTGAATTGTTGTTCGGGAGATGTTGAGCTATTCTAAGGAAGAACACCAGGAGGCGATGTTCACATTCTAAACCGCCAGTCTGTTTCTTCATTCTCTGCAGCAGGAAGAATTCGGATCATTTTTCTGTGACCCACGAATCAGCCAGGAGCAAAATAAAGCAAAAGAATTCATTTTCACTGTCCGGTTTTCAACATCTCTAAACACAATTCATCATTTATTTATCCCAAAATGGCACTTCACTAACTTGGAGGCATCCTCAGGAAGTCCAACATGGTCAAGATTATCCCTGTTAAACTTAATTCAGTTAATTTTCAGTGCATTACTCAAGACGCCAAAGTATTCAAACTATGTTACCTGGAACCCCGGGGTTCTGTGAGACGCATCCAGGAGTTCCACTCGATAGTTTTTGCTTACGGATAGTCCTCAGCTTATGACCACAATTGGAACCAGAATCTCAGTGATGGAGCAAAATGGCCATTAAGTAAGATGTCACTGCTTCATCCAATGACTGCAGATAACAGATAATCAGAGTTGGAAGGGGCCTTATAGGTCATCTAGTCCCCCCCCCCCCCCCCCGCCCTACACCATTTCTGACAGGTGGCAGTCCACTCTCTTCTTGAAAGTCTCAAGTGATGACGCTCCCACAACTTCCGAGGGCAAGTTGGTTGATTGTTCTCACTGTCAGAAAGTTTCTCCTTATTTCCAGGTTAAATCTCTCCTTGTTCAGTTTCCTTGTCTGGCCTACAGGTGCTTTAGAAAATAGCTTGACCCTTTCCTCTCTGTGGCAGCCCCTCAAATATTGGAAAACTGCTATCCTGTCTCCCCTGGTCCTTCTCTTCACTAGACTAGCCATTCCAAGTACTTGCAACCGTTCATTGTATGTTTTAGCCTCCAGTCCTCTAATCATCCTGGTTGCTCTTCTCTGTACTTTTTCTAGAGTCTCAACATCTTTTTTATAGTGTAGTGACCAAAACTGTATGCAGTACTCTCGGTGTGATCTTACTAAGGCTTTATAGAGTGGTATTAGTACCTCACTTGATCTTGATTGTATCCCTCTGTTAATACAACTTAGGATCGCATTGGCTTTTTTGGCTGCTGCTGCACATTGCTGGCTCATATTTAGCTGGTTGTCCACTAAGACTCCAAGATCCCTCTCACAGTTACTGCTATTGAGTCTGGTTTCACCCAGTCTATATGTGTCCTTTTGGTTTTTCTCGCCCAAGTGTAGGACCTTACTTTTCTCTACATTGAATTTCATTTTGTTAGATACTGCAATCAAGGCACTTCTGGTTGTGGTTGCTAAATGGAAGGAGTTGGTGGCTGGTGGAGGGTAACGTCCCGCCCCAACAGGCCCAGCCTCATGTCACCCCTTGGGAAAATTCATTCCCAGCCTCTGCTCTAAATCAAGCTGGAATTTATTTCCTCTGTACTCAGATAAATAAATGAGGATAGGATCTTTTTCTTAGTCCTTTTGTGTTTTTACTCTAAGGAGTAAAAAAAATAGAAAAATATAAGAATTTTAGGCTTCACTATAAAAATATATTTTTATAGTATATGGGGACACGATGGCTCAGTAACTAAGGCGCTGAGCTTGTCGATCAGAAAGGTCAGCAGTTCGGTGGTTCGAACCCTTAGCACCACATAATGGAGTGAGCTCCTGTTATTTGTCCCAGCTTCTGCCAACCTAGCAGTTCGAAAGCATGTAAAAATGCAAGTAGAAAAATAGGGACCACTTTGGTGGGAAGGTAACAGCGTTCCATGCACCTTCGGTGTTTAGTCGTGCCGGCCACATGACCACGGAGACGTCTTCAGACAGCGCTGGCTCTTCAGCTTTGTAACGGAGAGGATCACCGCCCCCTAATGCTGGAAACGACTAGCACGTATGTGCAAGGGGAACCTTTACCTTATAAAAAATATAAGGGGCCTGATGGCTCAGCGGTTAAAGAGGCTGAGCTTGTCAGATAGAAAACTGCCAGACCGGGTTCAAGACCCAAGTACCATGCAATGGGGTAAGTTCCCGTTCCTTGCTCCAGCTTCTTCTCACCTAGCAGTTCGAAAGCATGCAAATGCAAGTAGATAAATAGGTACTACTTCAGTGGGAAGGGAACAGTGTTCCGTGCACCTTTGATATATAGTCATGCTGGCCACATGACCACAGAAACATCTTCAGACAGTGCTGGCTCCCACGGTTAACAAACTGAGATAAGCACGGCCTTTACCTTTATAAAAACACAGTTCACAAAAGTTTTTTTTTCATGCTTCACATTTCAGTATAGATACCTGAAACTTCTTTTCCTACAAACTGCCCTTTTTGTACATTTTTCACAATTCTCCCATCGATGCAAGAAAGGAGAAAGGAATGGGTGATTAAGGTTCTACTGCAGTATTGGGGTGAGGCTGTTTAGTTTGTGCTTTGGTGTGTCCCAGATACCTAGTTGGCTGGCGATCCAGGTGTGGCATTAATCCAGAAAATGAGCAAACCCAATTTCAGTTAGTGATCACATGAATTGTTCACTTGCCAGTCCCACGCGGCTGTACAAAAATACATAGGGTACTGACTGCCACTGTGTGAATGACAGTATCTAAGGGTGATTGTACGACATGGTTTTCAAAAACATGCTAATCTTTTATTTATATGGGGGAGGGGGGAATCCCACGTGTGTGTGTGTGTGTGTGTGTGTGTGTGTGTGTGTGTGTGTATATATATATATATATATATATATAATCTATATCTATCTATCTATCTATCTATCTATCTATCTATATATATATATATATATATATACACATACCGTATTTGCCGGCGTATAAGACGACTTTTTTGCCCTGAAAAACATGCCTCCAATTGGGGGGGTCGTCTTATATGCCGGGTCGTCTTATACGCCGGCAAATAGTAATTGGGAAGCACTGCGGCTGCCCGCGGCTGAGGCACTTTTGCGCACCGTGGAAACGAATCCCGTGAAGCCGT